GTCAAGTCTTTATCCGGTATCCCTGGCCTCGTGAAGCTATATGAGCACTATGTACACTGAAGTTGGAGTTGACAGAGGACATAGAAAGCAACAACATAATATGTATATCCTTGAGACACATATCACAAATGCACAAGAAGAGTGCAGTGTTGATGGTCATCATTCACAAATACACATTGACAGGGTAGGGGAAGGATGGACACACAGTTCCAGTGGGAGAAGAATTATTGTGCGGGGTGTGGGTGGACATGTTACATGGGGAGAAGAATTAGTGTGGGGAGGGTGCCTATTGGGTAAAGGTATGGGTGGGGGACCTGGTTATGATGGGGCTCTTGAAGCGGGTTAGGGGCACCTGTTACATAGGGAGAAGAATAAGTGTGGGGTATGGGTGGACATCTCGTGATGGTGGGAGAAGAAATAGTGGGTGCTATGTGGAGAGGGTGGTTGTTGGGTATTGGCATGGGTGGGGCACCTAGTTATGATGGTGGTGTTGGTAAGGGTTAGGGGCACCTGTTTACATGGGGAGAAGGATTTGTGTGCTGAGGAGGGGGTATGGGTGGACATCTGGTTACAATGGGAGAAGAATTAGCGTGGGGAGGGTGGTTGTTGGGTATTGGTATGGATGGGGCACCTGGTTAAGATGGTGGTGTTGGAGAGGGTATGTATGGACACCTAGGAGAGAGACGGTTAGGGACACCTGTTACAGGGGGAGAAGAAGGTGGGGCATGGGGAGGGTGGTTGTTGGGTGTTGGTATGGATGGGGCACCTGGTTAAGATGGTGGTGTTGGAGAGGGTATGTATGGACACCTAGGAGAGAGATGGTTAGGGACACCTGTTACAGGGGGAGAAGAAGGTGGGGCATGGGGAGGGTAGGAGAGAGACAGTTAGGGACACCTGTTACAGGGGGAGAAGAAGGAGGGGCATGGGGATGGTAGGAGAGAGACGGTTAGGGACACCTGTTACAGGGGGAGAAGAAGGTGGGGCATCGGGAGGGTAGGAGAGGAAAGAAACTAAAATGATGATCGGAGAGGGAAGGAAGGCCTGTTGGTAATCCAATCACTGTGGAAGCAACAAGGGAGTTGACTATTTGGAGATATGTACACCGTGGGTATTGCACTACACAAATACAATGTCTCACATGCTGTTGGTAGTATGCAGATGTACAAAACACATGCTTATAATTATACTTGTACTATACATGTATACATTACTTCCACCATAGAGCAGTGGTGTCTAGAGGATAACTGCTATACATCTCACTATATGTAGAATATATTAATCTTAAATCTTGTATCCATCATTGCCCATTCAGTTTCACAGTACACATGACGCAGATGCATGCTTATGTCATATGTAAAGAAATAGTGGTCAGGCCTTGTTCCACAAGCTCATCTTGGCACCACGACTGTCAGAAGCCTGATACTTAAATGTAGACGGACAAATACCTATCAAGCTGAGGAAGGACCCAGAGCCCTGTATGTAAAACTGTTTCATTGTCTGTGTCTCTCACCTCCAATCTTTGCATGTACCCTCTCACACCTCATGCTCACTCACCCACCCACCAACTCACTCACTCACTAATTCACCCACTCACCCGCCCATCCATTCATCCATCAGCCCACTTATCCACCTGCCCACTCACACACCTACCCGATAACCCAACAACTCACCCATCCACCCAGCCAGCCAACCAGCCACTCACCCATCCACTCACCCACTCCTGCACTTGCCTCAATACTTTGGTTAACCAATAATAAATACATGGCACATATTGTTAACTTTTATAATAGTAATATATGACATCTGATCTAGCAGTGTGCTTCAGCAGCAAGACATACGCTGGTACAGAGACAACAGAAGTCACATCACAACACAGGGCACTACCATAGACATAATGGACTGTAGAAAAATAGAACCGCATGTCTAGCCTATGTCAACCAACTTGGATGTTGAAGGACAGCTACCACTATAAGGCATGCCGTGCACAGAGCGGGACACGGGTAATTGGGGACAAAAATAGAAATCAAATTGATTTTATCTATATTAAGGGTGGTGGTTTAGCCTAGTGGTTCAAGCGTTTGCTTATTACGCTGAAGGCGCTGGTTCGAATCCCAGCATGGGTACAATATGTAAGGCCCATTTCTGTCCTCCGCCATGACATTGCTTGTATATTGCTAAAAGTGGTGTAAAACCCTACTCACTCAATTATAGTGGTATGTATTGTCACAACTAGCATATACAGGGTTAGAGAATAACACAATGTACGGGGAAACTGATATTCTGTATTGAAAGAACATAAAGCTCAACATGTTTATCACTTCGTATCTACAGGAAATTAAACCATGAGGCACTCATAAAACTCATGCATTATTCAATAATGATTCTCAAAAATATTTTAGATACAGCTTTAACCTTGATCAACAACAGGTGTTTATATAACTATGCCATTAGGAGTAATTGTGAAGGCCTTCCACAAGCACCTCGTGATCATCTATTCCCTGGTCATAACCATGGACCTTTCACCACGGGAGTAAGATGGCCTCCTCTCGAGGAGGTCTACTTTCCATTCAGGAATGAAGTTGGATGGACTCCTCTCGAGGAGATCTTCTTGCCTTTCTTGAAGAGAGTAAGATGTCCTCCTCGCGAGAGGATCTACTTGCCTTCTTGAAGGGAGTAAGATATCCTCTTGAGGAGATCTACTTGCCTTTCTTGAAGAGAAAGATGGCCTCCTCTCACAGAGATCTAATTGCCTTCTTGAAGAGAAAGATGACCTCCTCTCGAGGAGATCTACTTGCCTTTCTTGAAGGGAGTAAGATGTCCTCCTCTCGAGGAGATCTACTTGCCTTTCTTGAAGCGAAAGATGTCCTCCTCTCGAGGAGATCTACTTGCCTTTCTTGAAGAGAGAGATGGCCTCCTCTTGAGGAGATCTAATTGCCTTCTTGAAGGGAGTAAGATGTCCTCCTCTTGAGGAGATCTGCTTGCCTTTCTTGAAGAGAGTAACATTGACTCCTCTTGAGGAGATCAACTGGCTATCTTGAAGAGAAAGATGTCCTCCTCTCGAGGAGATCTAATTGCCTTTCATAAGAGTAAGATGGCATCCACTAAGGCAGGTCTATAGAAACAGGAAGGTGTCTACATAGAGGTATATTGCAGATATAGGAAGAAGTATGTGCAATGAAATATAACAAATCTGTGGGTGAATATCATGTAGAATATTGACTATTGTAATGAATTTCAATGATGGTGTGACATAATGAACACTTGTGAGTATGGTTATGTGATTACACAGTGATTACATGATCGTCTACTAACACTCATACTGTAGGGTGAGAGAATATGGCCTGGCATAGATCTTGCCAGGAATACTAACAAACATTTTGTCCTGATGTCATGGCATAAACAGTCTTATCATCATAGGTTTCTGCAACTGTGCTACATTGTATCTGTGTTGTAGCCATGGATATATATTGTGAACAGATTAGACATACACTATATATATTGCCTGGTTGTCCTAGAGGTATTGTCTACAGCTGTGCTACAATGTATCTGTGTTGTAGCCATGATCAATGAGTACATACATTGTACTCTTGTATATTGCACATAGTTCCTAGGGAGACAGACTCAGTCCCTTATATTGCACTATATATTCCAGCAGCAATCAACAGAGCAGGATATCCATAGTTATCTGACGTGGCTTATAATACACCTGATATTACTCATCTAAATCTCTGTGATGACTAGAATGATTTCAATTGATGATCAGTGCCAAGATGCATCTTGAATGACGCCACCCGGGTTGGTCCATGATGCTGTGCAGTGGCGAAACAAGGTGGAGAAGGAACAGGTGACCACTTCATTGGTTTGTGAAAATAATTCAAAGTTGAAGAATCTGAAAAATGTTGAGCAGAATTTCATTCCAATCTTTATGATGATTTCTGTATTTTTCACCAACTTTGCCGGGGTTTTTGTGATGAGGTCTCCTGTAACCAGGTCTCACTCTGTGATGTTCTGTGATGTTCTGTGATGCTCTGTCCCGGAGCACTAACAAATGAACACTGGATTAACACGTCAGGTCAGCTCACAAATATATACACTTAGAGCATGTCCATCCTAGTCTGTCTCCTCAGTAGAATAAATATGACAGGTCCAAACACAATTTATACACATTGCTGTGCTAAATGTACACACATCGGAACCTCACAGACAACACTGTAATAGTCTCGGTTTCATTGTACTAATGTCACATGTGCAACATTGTTGCAAGTACAGTATTGACAGTTCTATTCTCTTGTCTGCACCACTGCAGGGTTAGAAGTTATAAGGCTAGCCTGAGTCAGTAGAAAGTAAAAATGGCCGCTGGAAGGTAGCAAGCGATGTCCCTGTCCCAGTGATGTTTCAGTCTGACAGGAAATAGGGTTTCCTATTCTGGCAAGGTTCAGTTGACATTACTTTAGTTTACTGCAAAGTTTTTTTGTGATGCAGCACATATTGAGTGAGTACCTAAATTAGCAAGTAATTACCTTCTTATCAGTCACCAAATAAAAATGGGGACTCGTGTTGAGGGCTTGTAGATGTTTCTTTCTACTCTCCTGTGTGGCTAATGAAGCTCTGTGTTCATATCTACCACTGCACTGGTGTTGAGATGTGGGTGACAGACATGCCTACATGGTGAGTGATCATTAGGGCTGGGACGAGTCCAAATTAACTACCCGGGTACCCGACCCCCTATTACCCGACCCTACCCAGGTACCCGCTGCAAGTCTCAAGAGTCGGGAACAAAATGTCTGATTGGTAATTGTTTTACCATAGCCCTGGCTAAAACTATTTAGATACATGTATTAAACAATCAGATCATGCGTTCACTGAAGTTGACTGAAGCTTTATCTTTACTCAAACATTTACAAGTCAAAAGGAATGTGTGCATCGTCAGAAAGAAATGCGAACATTAGCGACTTGTAGTGTAACCACTGAGCTATAGTAAGTTTTTGTCATTAAACAATAAATCAAGTGATTAACCACATGTTCGGGTAGTCCTGTGGGTACCTGGGTCCTACTCAGGACCCACCCGACCCGAGTACCCGTGTTACCCATCCCAGCCCTCGTGATCATCCATTACTCCCTGCTTGTGTCTCCTACATGGCACACATGATTGATGTGTCCGAGATTCTCAGACTCCAGTTTCATAGATATTTCTCACTTTCCCATTTGGCATGGCATTGGGTGCATAGTTGTGAGGTGGCAACCAGAAAGACTTCTCCTGGCCGCTGTAGTAGGGGATGTTGTCATACTGCGCCTGACACGTGTTGTCCATGTCGTAGTCTTCCGGAGGAGGGGGAGGCAGATCAAACTGGTTGCTGAGCTTCATCTCTTCGTCAGGACTACGGAATGTGGACAGTGGTCGTGCTGGTGAGTCCAGAGGCTGCCCTCCCTCGTACCGGGGTATTTGGATGGTCTCTGGTTTGGTTGGGGAGTCAAGCACCGGCGGTGGAAACTCATCAGTTTTCTCATTTCCTTCTCTGTCCATCATGGACTCATCAGAACCTGATGGAAGTGGTGTTACCATGGCAACAGGTTGAGAGAATGTGACACTCTTGCTGCGTGTTTTCGGCGGTGGGCTTTTATTGCCTTTCTTATTGATGACAGCATAGTAGTCTTGAGGTGGCGGCATGGTGCGGTTTCCTGCAGCACTATCAATCTCTTCCCGTAGAGTAAGGTAATCCCGCGGGGGAACGCTCATGAGGGGCTCAGTTTGGGGTCCGTCCAGGCCGCCGTTGTAAGGGGGAGGAGGGGCAGGGAGCTCCTCGCCCACAATCTCGTCCGGCTGGCTGTACTCTGCTGATCCCAGAACCACATTCTTGTTTGGGTTGTAGTCATACTGGGAAGATACCTTCAATGGACTCCGACTGATGGAACAGTAGTGGTCATCGTCGTAGTCATAGCGACAGTAGGATGCAACGTCCAGAGATGGAGTAGGACTCATGGCTGGGTACATCTCCACGCGCTTCACTGGTTCTTTCGCTCGACGTACCCTACAGCAGAAATACTACAATAATTATCTACATAACAATGTAGGGTGACATACATGTGACTCAAATGGAGTGAAAATAACATAACTGTTTTCTTGTTTAGGGACAGGGTATTTATTAGGTGTTTGTGTTTTGTTTTTGTTTTTTTGGGGGGGAGTGTCAGAGGGACAGTTCATTTATTAGTAGGGGGGGGGGATTTGAGGGAATCGGGAGGGTCACCCAAATGTATGAAAGTCTATACGAGAGGGTAAAAATATATTGACATTTATTTTGGGGGGGTCATGACAAATGGAAATTTTATCATAAAATATAAAGGCATTTGCATTTTGCATTTATAGGAAAGGCCATGAAAAAAGTGTACAAGGACATGGGGAGGGTCACCAAAAATGACAAGCATTTGGGGAGGGTCATTATTTCAGTACATAGTGCATCCAAAACCTCTGACTCACCCACCCCTGTAATAAATGTCCCTTAATCTTACATAGCCAAATGAAAATATATAATGTTGTCCACAGTTCAAACCACAGAGGGGACTAGAATTGGAATATGTTGAAATTGGCACCATGAAGTAACACTTTCACAATCATTATTTTGAATTTATGGACTTTACATGTGTGAATAAAATTTTAGAGCCAGTGGGGTCCAAGTAAACACCAGAACACTTCACAACTTTAAGAAACAAGAGGAGATCTGATTTATATGCTTTGAAATAATCATAGTATGATATGTTAAATATGAACATTTATTTTGGCCTTTGAGTTTTTGTTAAAAGAAGATTTATTCATTGTGTCTTTTACTCAATGTGCCCGATCAACTAATCAATGACCAACCAAGTAAAGTACATGGAAATATAGCATGAACTGACATTGAATACTTGAACATTGATTTTGGTCAGAAATGTATGAATTAGGGCATGGGAGGTAACTCCAGCCAAATTCAGCATCTCCTGATTTTCCGTTGAAAGGATTGTTTGTATGAAAAGGTTGGTTTGGTTGGTTTGTTGTTTAACACCGCACTCAGCAATATTCCACCTATATGACAGCAATCTGTAAATAATCGAGTCTGGACCAGACAAACCAGGGATTGACATCATGAACATCAATCCACGCAATTGGGATTGATGACAGGCATTAACCAAGTCAGCGAGCCTGACCACCCGATCCAATTAGTCGCCTTTTACAGCAAGCATGGGTTGCTGAGGACCTATACTACCGCGGATGTTCACTGGTAGTATGAAAAGGAGTTCAACTGTCTATTTTTATTGAATCAACAACCATGTATTTCATGGCTGACTGGTATTCCAGGTTTGTCTGTGTCTATATCCATGTACCCATCGGAATCTCCATCTCCAGCAACCTATGCTTGTCGTAAATGGTGACTAAATGGATTGGGTGGTCAGACATGGTGACTCGGTTGATTGAATGTCATTTTTTTCCATTTACATGGATTGATGCTCATGATATCAATCACTGATTGTCTGGACTTGATTATTTACAGTCCACAGTCATATAGCTGGAATATTGCTGAATGTGACATTTTAGAACAACAAACAAATACTACATCTATGCAAGCCATTACCTCCGGCAGTGGACAGCAATGGAGATGATGAGGATGGCAAAGATGACAAACGATGCGGCCACAATTCCTCCAACTATTGCAGCTGAAACACAATAAGAGCTTGGTTAACAGCCTCAGAGTGAATGCGGAATGTAGTACTAATGGTGAAACGACACTCGAAACTGATACGCTGCGATATTCGGCCTTCAATACGATACATGATCTTATAAAAGACAGAATGTTTAATGAAAGAATGCCTAAATAGTTATAACATGAGCTTGAAGAGCCACCCGCATCCTCCAAATTAGCTGTTTGAGATCATTTTGGCTTGCCTGTTACCTTTTGTGACTCAGAACAGATAACAAAGATAGCCATTTTTCACTCATCTGAAATACATGAGTGTTTCAGTTCATGGTCTTCGTGTTATTATTCTAGCTTGTAGAGATAAACAGATCTTGATACACAGGTACACCCCTAGTGGCCTATGTGTTATAATGGAAACAGAACAGACTTCTGTGGGCATCTTTCAGGGACTCCCATCCTGTGATCATCTGTGTAATGTGTTACGGGAGTTAAGTTTCAGAGTAAAAGATGCTTAAAGATTACGTTATGAGCCGACAGAAACAGGTAGGCTAAAAACATGTCAAGTGTAGTAATGAAAAATAAAACAGGCATCTGCTGTTGTGATGGTGCACGTTTGACTCACCCATATCAGATGTAAGTGGGAATATGGCTGCTGAAGCAGATTCGTTTTCAGGTCGGCGAGGTATGACAGTGCTTAGCTTTTCATCAGAACCTTCAGCTTTAGTTCGGTCCCTTGATTCTGCATCTTGATACGGCTTGGCAAGAAGGCGTCTGAGTGCCTCCCCACAATACACGTTGACAAAGTCGTTTGATTCTTCGGCTGGAACAAGAGAAAGTGTTGCTACTTTTTCTGATCAACAATTCTGCTGAATGACAAGCAAGTGTTGTTACTGTTTCAGATCAACAATTCTGCTTAATGACAAGAAAGTGTTGCTACTGTTTCAGATCAACAATTCTGCTTAATGACAAGCATGTGTTGCTACTGTTTCTGATCAACAATTCTGCTGAATGACAAGCAAGTGTTGTTACTGTTTCAGATCAACAATTCTGCTTAATGACAAGAAAGTGTTGTTACTGTTGCAACACTTCTGCTTGTTTAGTGTGTAAAGAACAAGAGGTAAATGTAGGGAAATTTGACATGGTTGATATGGTTGATATGAGGTTAATTTCATGCAACAATGCTCTTGGATTTAAAGTTCAGATAAAACCATGTGGAAAATAAATTCAGTTGGACACAGCAATATTTTGTTTGCTTTACGGCAGGCTTGTCCCTAAAATAACAAACAAGAATTGCCTTGTGTAATAAATCAGGACTTTTCACACATCTGTACTATTCACCTTTAATCTGGAACCACACGTAGGCGGTCCCGCGATCATTGCTCTGGCTCTCCAGGCTGATGGTGACATTCCGCGTTGACCGTTCATACAGAGCTCGGAAGCCATACAGTCCACGATGACCACACGTGATCTGCTTCTTGTAGTTAAAACTGTCTTCAATCTTGATGAGCTCGGTACAGGTTCGACCTCCGTACTCCGACATAGCGATGAGGATGTCGATGGAATGGAGGCTGATGCCACGCGACTGCTCTGTGGTGGCCAGACAGGAACACCGGGGTTTGTTGCCACGGATGGACGAAGGGTACTCGGTGTTGGCTATGTACAACTCCTTGCCTCGCTTATGTGTGTCGGAGCAGAAGCTTGCAATGTCAGCATCTGCAACAGTTCAGTCATTTAAATCAGAAGAGGAAATGTAAGATCCGCGGTAGAATAGGTCTTCAACCCATGCTTGTCGTAAAAGGCGACTATGCTTGTTGTAAAAGGCAACTAACAGGATCGGTTGGTCAGACTCGCTGACTTGGTTGATGCATGTCATCATATCCCAATGGCGTGGATCAATGCTCATGATGTCAATCACTGGATTGTCGGGTATAAAAATGCAATAATCTTGACCACTACATTTAACCCAATTTCACCTCACCTAAACTAAATAAACTGAATATTGTGTCAAATAATGTTTTTTGCAAGAAGAAAGGTCTGTATCACAGGCTGTATGTTAATAAGTCCTTGGTGTCATCAGAGAGAATATTTCTGATGGCCAAGGGAAGTAACTCTTACTGCCTTGTCTGTCACTACTGTTCACAAGAGCACATTGCAGCAATCTGATACAGAGCTTTCAAACTAATTGTGTAAATAACAGGAAGTTTACATGAATAATTTGTAAACGAAAGGCAATGTTTTGAATGCTGTCATGTTTTTTAATGTAGCAAGATTGAGATAATAACTGTTTACTTTGTGAATGAATGTCTGACAACCTTTTCAAGGATAATTTGATTTCTTTTTCATTTCCATTTCCCTTGAAATTAGTGGGTTCAGTCTGGGAAACGGAAGTAGGAAGTTGTTTATTGATTCCTGCTGCTCTGACGTAGTTGCAATAATGATATGTCCGTCGAAGACAGCTAGGTGGCAGTACACTGCTACAGTGGGAAACAAGTCCTCTTTTCACATGCATGCTTTATCTAATAAACATGTGTTGAGTGTTGTAAACAAGCTAGGTTTTCAGGGCACTGTGTTAAAGCCTGATGAAAATAGACAGGGTTCTTATTACATTTAATTTCAAAATAGAGTAGGTAGGGTTTTCCTTTACAACCTTTAAGCATGTTGGAAAACTTGTGTAAACATTGTGAATAAATAAATGCTTGGTTTCTAATTTTGTTACAAACAGGAGTATACCACTAAAATATTTAGGGCAGCTCTTTAAATCGTGTTTTGGGGGAATAGGATCAAATTGACAGGTGTTTGGTGGTTGCGATGTTTGAGTGATTGGTGAATCAACCATCAGTCATCTCAGCCAACAGGCTGTGAGGTCTCATGTCATTTCTCGTCACCCTGCATGCATTAAATTGGCATGATGTTTGCTGTAGATTTCAGTGACCAAGTATTTTGATAGTGTAAACTGGGGTCAGAATGTTTGTTGTACAGAGTGGTGGGTCTAATGACAACAGTGTTCAACTCTGTGGCCAGTCTACATGTTTCTAACCACTTCTACATTGTTCAACACTGTGGCTGTTCTCACCACTTCTACTTTATTCAATGCTGTGCCTCATGGTTCTAACAACTGCTTTATTCATCACTGTGGCTGATCAAACCACAACATTGTTCAACACTGTGGCTGTTCTAACCTCTTCTACATTAATTTATTGTTCAACACTGTGGCTGTTCTTACCACTTCTACATTGTTCAATGCTGTGGCACACAGTTCTAACAACTGCTATATTCATCACTGTGGCTGATCAAACCACAACATTGATCAACACTGTGGCTGTTCTAAACTCTTCTACATTGTTCAATGCTGTCGCTCACGGTTCTAACAACTGCTTTATTCATCACTGTGGCTGATCAAACCACAACATTGATCAACACTGTGGCTGTTCTAACCTCTTCTACATTAATTTATTGTTCAACACTGTGGCTGTTCTTACCACTTCTACATTCTTCAACGCTGTGGCTGTTCTAACAACTGCTTTATTCATCACTGTGGCTGTTCTAACCACTTCAACATTGTTCAACACTGTGGCTGTTCTAACCACTTCTACATTGTTCAACACTGTGGCTGTTCTAACCACTTCTACATTGTTCAACACTGTGGCTGTTCTTACCACTTCTACATTGTTCAACACCATGACTGTTCTAACAACCACTACTTTGTCCGCTGTCATATTGCTTGAATATTGCTGAGTGTGGGGTTAAACAACAACCCCTACTTTGTTCAATGCTGTGGCTGTTCTAACAAACACTACTTTGTCCGCTGTCATATTGCTGGAATATTGCTGAGTGCAGCGTTAAACAACAACCACTACTTTGTTCAATACTGTGGCTGTTCTAACAACCACTACTTTGTCCGCTGTCATATTGCTGGAATATTGCTGAGTGCAGGGTTAAACAACAACCCCTACTTTGTTCAACACTGTGGCTGTTCTAACAACCACTACTTTGTCCGCTGTCATATTGCTGGAATATTGCTGAGTGCAGTGTTAAACAACAACCCCTACTTTGTTCAACACTGTGGCTGTTCTAACAACCACTACTTTTTCAGCTGTCATATTGCTGGAATATTGCTGAGTGCAGGGTTAAACAACAACCCCTACTTTGTTCAACACTGTGGCTGTTCTAACGACCACTACTTTGTCCGCTGTCATATTGCTGGAATATTGCTGAGTGCAGGGTTAAACAACAACCCCTACTTTGTTCAACACTGTGGCTGTTCTAACGACCACTACTTTGTCCGCTGTCATATTGCTGGAATATTGCTGAGTGCAGGGTTAAACAACAACCCCTACTTTGTTCAACACTGTGGCTGTTCTAACGACCACTACTGTGTTCAAGTCTCAGCCTGTCTTATCACCTCCACTTTGTTCTACTGTGGGCCTCATCTTATCATGTCTATGTATGTGATACTGTGTTCTTTCAACAATGTTACAACTTGTTTGCATTGAGGAAAAGCTGAGCAACAACGTTTGGTGTCTGTTGTCTGACCCTTGGCAACTTATCGTATTGTTATCACAAGATATGTCAAAACACCAGCCTCTCAAAACAATGGCTGGATGTGTCCGGATGCCTCCTATACATGGGGCAGACTGCTTCCGATGGCTGAACCTTGTGTCCGTGTACATAACATACACTGCACAGGTGTAAAGTAGCACCATTTGTTTATAGGAGTTCATAGTCAGCCATATGTTCTGTGAACATCAAAGATGGCACTGTTATGTCAGCACTAGCTGAGTTATCTCAATATTGCTACACACAGACAGATTTAGCTTCACTTCAGGAAAAGTCTGTTTCTAAAACACTGGGAATTCTATCCTCCTCAAAGTATTAAGGTCATCAGGTACGGTAAGGGTTTAATTATGAGTAAAATTTCAAATTAAGGAGGACGCATTCTTGAGTTAATTCTTTCAAAATGAACGGAAGTAATACTAAACATGCTAAACTTGACTACTTAAGTGGTCCATAGAATGTAAAGTGAAACTGTTGTTTGCATGTTTTGAGGTAGTTCACCTCATTCCCTTATCTTGTAATATCATCTGGTAATGATAATGGATGTTTATGATAATTAATTAACTTATGATGTGTTATTGATCATACTGTAAAAAGCTCACCTGTCACACATGGCTACGATTATTAATATGTGTACATACTTGAGTGAATATGAAGAGCCTCTCCCCATACCTAAATACCACAATACCATTCTGTTTACCTTGCATCAAAGACTATCATTCCTTGGGTATATAGCTTACGTGGTTGTGAAAGTGGTTTGATTTAGCTCCCCTCATATAATAGTTGCTTGTTTTAGCTCATCTGGTCTTCTTTATAATAGTTACTTTTAAAGTCAACTGTTATGCTGTATGATTGTGGTTCATTTAGCTCACCTGGTATTTTGTATCATAGTAACTTTTAAACTCACCTGTTATACTGTATGATAGTGGTTGGTGTAGCTAACCTGGTATGTTGAAATTGTTACTTTTAAACACACCTGTTTTGCTATATAATAGTGGTTGATTTAGCTCACCTGGTATGCTGTAATAGTTACTTTTAAACACACCTGTTTTGCTATATGATAGTGGTTGATTTAGCTCACCTGGTATGCTGTAATAGTTACTTTTAAACACATCTGTTTTGCTATTTGATAGTGGTTGGTTTAGCTCACCTGGTATGCTGGAATAGTTACTTTAAATGTGTGAAGCCCATTTATGGTGTCCCCCACTGATATTGCTGGTATATTGCTAAGAGCGGTGTAAAACCATACTCACTTACTCACTTACTCACCTGCTATGCAGTCGTAGATGATGGTCATGAAGTCAGTGGTCTTCTTCAGACACTGTCCACTGGTAGTGACCTTCTTGACCATGAACTTGCAGGAGGGATACCCGGAACACTGGGTGTTGATGTCCAGGTACGACTCCTCCCTGTTCACCATACAGTCAGCGTGGGATGCGGTGCAGCAGTCGCGCCGGGTGCGGCGGTGTCCCACGCAGGCTGCATCTAGCTTCACACCATAGAACAAGCGCTTGATGGCTATACGGTGTCCAGCACCACAGTCCAGCTTCAGCTCCTGCTCGTTGCAGCCGCTGGCGTAGATGTTCTGTTTGGCCTCGCCACACACTGCAACACAAGTATCGGAAACAGTTAAACTTTGTAAACAGAATTTGCATCAATGCTCCACAGAATTCATGCACTGGGTATTATCAAAATGGCCATTACTCAATATTCAGCAACCCATGCTTGCCATAAAAGGCGACTTTGCTTGTCGTAAGAGGCGACTAACGGGATCGGGTGGTCAGGCTCGTTGACTTGGTTGATGCATGACTTGGTTGATGCATGTCAGTGATCCCAATTGCGTGGATAGATACTCATGATGTCAATCAGTGGATTGTCTGGTCCAGACTCGATTATTTACAGACCGCTGTCATATAGCTGGAATGTCGCTCCACATAATTGGGATACAATGACATGCATTAACCAAGTCAGTGAGCCTGACCACCCAATCCCATTAGTTGCCTTTTACAACAAGCATAGTTGCCTTTTAGGGCAAGCATGGGTTGCTGAAGACCTATTCTGCAATAGGTATTAACATTTGATTGTAGCATGCAACACTGAGGCATTTTTGTCATATATATCTGGTAGGAATAACATAATCTTAAGTCTTCAAATCAGAAAGTTGTATCCATCTGTGATACAAATTGACAAGTAGGATCTGTCAATAGTTTCATAGTTATTTGACAATAAGTATGTTTTGTTAGGGCAATTCAGTGTGAGAATACTACTGTCCTACTGGTCCACTGAATGTCAATATTGGATTAAACTGTTGACACTGTCAAAACTAGTTCATTGAATGTCAATATTGGATTAAACTTTAGACGCTGTCTAAACTGGTCCACTGAATGTCAATAATAGATAAAATTTTAGACGCAGTCTAACTGGTCCACTGAATGTCAATATTTGATTAAACTTTAGACGCTGTCTAAACTGGTCCACTGAATGTCAATATTGGATAAAACTTTAGATGCTGTCTAAACTGGTCCACGGAATGTCAATATTAGACTGAACTTTAGATACTGTCTAAACTGGTCGAATGAATCTTAATATTGCAGTGTTGAGTTAAACTTTGAATACTTCTGTCCATATCAGTCCACGGAGACACCAGAATAACGGTTTGAATGCAACTGTCAAATTATATAATAGGATACCATTCAGCTGTCGGTTACATTCAGCAGTGATCTGTATTGATCTTCTATTCCACTGAATGAATATGAGTGAAATCATGGCTATCTAAACCACAGGAGCACAGCATGTAAGTATGAAGAATGTTTGTTCCATCTAGACATTTGCAGGAATAAATGAATATTCCCAGTCCCAATGATGCTGTGATGGCCTCCCATCCCCAACGCCAGCCTTCTGAAGCGTGGTGCACAACAGAGAGATGATAATGTGATTAGCCAACATCTTGAGGAAGTCAGGGGAATGTGCATTCCAGACAAATCAGGGCAATTGCGGGACTCTGTCACTATTATCAGCTGCTTTATTCAGATAGATGCCTATCAGACAGTGGAAGCAGGGTGACATTTGACTGACTGCAGCTTCACATGCACCAGACACCACACAATCAGCTGGAACTGCTGATGAATCCTCGTGTCCATAATTCACAACTATATGGCTGACGTGTTGAGTGCCTACATCTAGTTATTAGGGTACTTTATTGTTGATTTGGCTGAAAATGGGATAAGCTTCTTCAAGCAATCACATGTTTAACAATGTTACCATATCTCCTTTACTTAATCTGGTGTGTGGAGCTCGTCATGTTGATGATAGGGTTCATGTCCCCACATGTGAAATGCATAGAGGGTTTATAGACTTATTGCATATGGTATATACATGTATGTATATATTGAATAGACTTGATGTTACAAAGGGTCCATATATTCATTTAGTTCAGTTCTGTCCATGTTCGTTTCTAAGACTAAACCAATACGTTGGTCAGGTGTTTACAAAGGGTCCAAATGTCCATAAGGCCACACTTTTTTAATGTTATGTTTCATGGATTTATTCCAGCTTTGCCACACAAGGTAGATCGAAATAATTATAGAAATAAATGTCAATTATTTATTTATATGAAAATCATTCTGCTGTTGAGTTGCAGGTGACCTCATGAACCAGGGATAGTGATGTATACAAGGAATGTATATAAAACATTTTAATTGATAAATGTATGTTAATTTCTTTTCTTAAACTGGCTGCTTTTTAGTCGGGACGGCAGGCCTGTGAAAGGAAAATAAAAAATGTTTGGCCTAATGGTCAGTCCTCCCTATGCTTGTTGTAAGAGTTCACCAATATGTAAAGTGATGAGGTGGCTAGAAAGTGTCCATCTTGTTCTGTCCTCCCCATGCTTGTTGTAAGAGTTCACCAATATGTATAGTGATGAGGTGGCTAGAAAGTGTCCATATTGTTCTGTCCTCCCCATGCTTGTTGTAAGAGTTCACCAATATGTATAGTGATGAGGTGGCTAGAAAGTGTCCATATTGTTCTGTCCTCCCTATGCTTGTTGTAAGAGTTCACCAATATGTATAGTGATGAGGTGGCTAGAAAGTGTCCATATTGTTCTGTCCTCCCTATGCTTGTTGTAAGAGTTCACCAATATGTATAGTGATGAGGTGGCTAGAAAGTGTCCATCTTGTTCTGTCCTCCCCATGCTTGTTGTAAGAGTTCACCAATATGTATAGTGATGAGGTGGCTAGAAAGTGTCCATATTGTTCTGTCCTCCCTATGCTTGTTGTGAGAGTTCACCAATATGTAAAGTGATGAGGTGGCTAGAAAGTGTCCTTATTGTTCTGTCCTCCCTATGCTTGTTGTAAGAGTTCACCAATATGTAAAGTGATGAGGTGGCTAGAAAGTGTCCATATTGTTCTGTCCTCCCTATGCTTGTTGTAAGAGTTCACCAATATGTAAAGTGATGAGGTGGCTAGAAAGTGTCCATATTGTTCTGTCCTCCCCATGCTTGTTGTAAGAGTTCACCAATATGTATAGTGATGAGGTGGCTAGAAAGTGTCCATATTGTTCTGTCCTCCCCATGCTTGTTGTAAGAGTTCACCAATATGTATAGTGATGAGGTGGCTAGAAAGTGTCCATATGTCCATGTTGTTCTGTCCTCCCTATGCTTGTTGTGAGAGTTCACCAATATGTAAAGTGATGAGGTGGCTAGAAAGTGTCCTTATTGTTCTGTCCTCCCCATGCTTGTTGTAAGAGTTCACCAATATGTATAGTGATGAGGTGGCTAGAAAGTGTCCATATGTCCATGTTGTTCTGTCCTCCCTATGCTTGTTGTGAGAGTTCACCAATATGTAAAGTGATGAGGTGGCTAGAAAGTGTCCTTATTGTTCTGTCCTCCCTATGCTTGTTGTGAGAGTTCACCAATATGTAAAGTGATGAGGTGGCTAGAAAGTGTCCTTATTGTTCTGTCCTCCCTATGCTTGTTGTAAGAGTTCACCAATATGTATAGTGATGAGGTGGCTAGAAAGTGTCCTTATTGTTCTGTCCTCCCTATGCTTGTTGTAAGAGTTCACCAATATGTATAGTGATGAGGTGGCTAGAAAGTGTCCATATTGTTCTGTCCTCCCTATGCTGTATAGTGATGAGGTGGCTAGAAAGTGTCCATATTGTTCTGTCCTCCCCATGCTTGTTGTAAGAGTTCACCAATATGTATAGTGATGAGGTGGCTAGAAAGTGTCCATATTGTTCTGTCCTCCCCATGCTTGTTGTAAGAGTTCACCAATATGTATAGTGATGAGGTGGCTAGAAAGTGTCCATATGTCCATGTTGTTCTGTCCTCCCTATGCTTGTTGTGAGAGTTCACCAATATGTAAAGTGATGAGGTGGCTAGAAAGTGTCCTTATTGTTCTGTCCTCCCCATGCTTGTTGTAAGAGTTCACCAATATGTATAGTGATGAGGTGGCTAGAAAGTGTCCATATGTCCATGTTGTTCTGTCCTCCCTATGCTTGTTGTGAGAGTTCACCAATATGTAAAGTGATGAGGTGGCTAGAAAGTGTCCTTATTGTTCTGTCCTCCCTATGCTTGTTGTGAGAGTTCACCAATATGTAAAGTGATGAGGTGGCTAGAAAGTGTCCTTATTGTTCTGTCCTCCCTATGCTTGTTGTAAGAGTTCACCAATATGTATAGTGATGAGGTGGCTAGAAAGTGTCCTTATTGTTCTGTCCTCCCTATGCTTGTTGTGAGAGTTCACCAATATGTAAAGTGATGAGGTGGCTAGAAAGTGTCCTTATTGTTCTGTCCTCCCTATGCTTGTTGTAAGAGTTCACCAATATGTATAGTGATGAGGTGGCTAGAAAGTGTCCTTATTGTTCTGTCCTCCCTATGCTTGTTGTGAGAGTTCACCAATATGTAAAGTGATGAGGTGGCTAGAAAGTGTCCTTATTGTTCTGTCCTCCCTATGCTTGTTGTGAGAGTTCACCAATATGTAAAGTGATGAGGTGGCTAGAAAGTGTCCTTATTGTTCTGTCCTCCCTATGCTTGTTGTAAGAGTTCACCAATATGTATAGTGATGTGGTGGCTAGAAAGTGTCCATATGTCCATGTTGTTCTGTCCTCCCTATGCTTGTTGTGAGAGTTCACCAATATGTATAGTGATGAGGTGGCTAGAAAGTGTCCATATGTCCATATTGTTCTGTCCTCCCTATGCTTGTTGTAAGAGTTCACCAATATGTAAAGTGATGAGGTGGCTAGAAAGTGTCCTTATTGTTCTGTCCTCCCTATGCTTGTTGTGAGAGTTCACCAATATGTAAAGTGATGAGGTGGCTAGAAAGTGTCCATATTGTTCTGTCCTCCCTATGCTTGTTGTGAGAGTTCACCAATATGTATAGTGATGAGGTGGCTAGAAAGTGTCCATATTGTTCTGTCCTCCCCATGCTTGTTGTAAGAGTTCACCAATATGTATAGTGATGAGGTGGCTAGAAAGTGTCCATATGTCCATGTTGTTCTGTCCTCCCTATGCTTGTTGTGAGAGTTCACCAATATGTATAGTGATGAGGTGGCTAGAAAGTGTCCATATTGTTCTGTCCTCCCCATGCTTGTTGTAAGAGTTCACCAATATG